CCAATTTTTTGTTGAGTTGACTGTTCCTTTTCTCTTGGATTTATTTAAAAAGTATTCAAATTCACTGTCACTAGGTTCGGAATATATAAACGTCTAACAAAAGAAAAAAATAAAAAAAAAATAAAAAAATAAATAAAAATATGTGCACTAATACAATTTAAGGCAAAAAAATATGTATGTGTTTTACGAACTTTTCCAGCTTTACCCATATTACTGTTATTATATAATCTTTAAATTAGAAGAAATTCGAATAAAATATAAAATAATTTAATAACAACAAAAAAGTTTAAAATATCAGTGCATGTTACGCAAACATTATCATAGCTCAGTTTCACAATATAGACGTTATTGTATGGATATTTAAAAATTCGTATAAGCTATGACTGCGTCATAGCTTGCACGATATTTTTAAACACCCGTACAATAACTAGTACATACGTTCTGCAAGAGTTATATAAATTAGTTCCTGTATTACTAGAGAACCGGGAAAACCCTATTGAATGTTATCGCAAACACACGATTCGATATTACTTTGAAATTAAAAAATTTTTCAAAGCCTTTTATTGAAATTATTAGCCAAAGGAGGAGTTTCGTTCCGTATTTTTTAAAAATAGATATTTGTTACACCAAATCTTAGAAAACAAGCCCCATTTTAATGGACGGTTTTTCGTATAAATAAAAGTGCCCTTTTCTTCGACACAAAGTTTCTCAAAACATTTAATAATATTATTATGAAATAAGATATAAAAAAATGTTGTCAAAATCTTTTAAATTCTTAACATTTGCTCTTTTAATTATTACTATTTTATCGAATGTTTTTATCAATGCATCGCCAATTCTCTCAGAAAAACGTGCAAAAGACGGTGTTGCTTATGCAAGTTTTGATAATGGCGGTGATGTAAAAAAAATTTCTGGTTTAATTCGCTTTCCACAGATTTCAAAAGAAACCACACGTGTAGTTGGACTATTCACCACTGGTTTTACAAGTGAAAATCCAAATGATTATGGATTCGATGTTGTTGATGGGTGTTGTAATGTATTATTTGATTTAATTAGTATTAGAGATCAATTGTCTATTAATCCTCCTGGAACCGGAGCATTTGAATTTGACATAAAACTCCAAGTTAAACAATTAAGGAATTCGTTTTTCATTGTAAAATTCAAAGGCGAAGAAATCGGAAGAGCTCCAATCAAAGGTGTATAATTAATACAATTAATTGTTATTGTTTATTATGTATAATGTGATTTTATGATGATTTTTAATGTATAAATATTATTAGTTTTCCTAATATTATTAATGCTTTCTTGAGAATTAAATCATGTATTTTCTTTAAAACAATTTATATATATTAATATTTTCGAATAAAACAGATACGTACATGTTTTTAATGATTGACAGTGGCTGTGTGTTGTAATTTTTATATTAATAATAATATGAAAATTTTGGCTGGGATGCAGTGGGCTTGATTTTCATTGTAAACTTAAAGGCCCAGAAATCAAAAGAGCTCAAATCAAGCTTGTATAATTAATTCAATTAAATTTTTATTAAGTGTAATGTGATTTATGACGATTTTAATGTATTGATATTAATATTATTGATTCTTCTAATATTATAATACTTGTTAATAATTAAATCATTCACGTATTTTCTTTATTTTTAATACTTGGTTGTGTGCGTTACAATTTTTAAAGCAATTTACTGCGACAAGCTTACAACTGAGGACGCAATGCAAGCTTTTGCTACGCGAGAACAAAAACACACATTTATTTTAAGTTGGGTTTGGATTTCATCATCTTTGTCGCAAAAAGCAAAAAAATGACATTATTTCAGGCCAAGACAATAGTCTATTTTATTAAACTCATAACTTATAAATAGGATAGCTATCCCCTCATTTTTTTTTTTTTTTTTTTTTGAAATACTTGAATATTTTCATGAAACAAAATCGGATCTTAATCCTTATTATCATCCTCAAAAAACGATGATTCATTGCTATATATAATAATAATTCTTTTTCATAATTGATGGATCATCATTATATATTACAAATCAATTAACAAACAAAAAGATAGAGGTCATGTCACGAAGGGTCAATACACTCAGCATGAGCCACCAGCAAGAGTTTCACTATCTCACTTGCTGGACTTTAATAACACATTTAAGTGAGTCACATGGGTTCGTACCCTGAGATGAGTACTAGTAATGGAAAATGAGTCCTATATACCAACTTTTTTCAAGTTGTGCATGGGATATATACAGTTTACACACAACATTTCATTGGACAAATTCTATTCCATAATTTTTATTGTGTAATCCTGCGTAATAATAATTCAAAATAATTCAATAGGAAAAGTAGAGTTGACGATAGGTTGCGAGTTTTGGAGGTAACTGTTAAATACAAGATGTATGACAATGTATGAAGCTTCCAAAGAAGTTTGTAAAATATACTGATGAATGTTTGTCAATTATTCAATAGTTGTATAGGCGTGACCAAAGTAAGTGTTAAATACAAGTTCCAAGAAGTTTGCAAATCAAGTTTTGCAAATGAACGTTTTATCAATTATTCAATATTTTTGTATAAAAGTGATTGAAATTGAAATAAGTGGTAAAGGCAAGATCTGTGAAGTTGTTGCAAAATATTTTAATGAACGTTTTATCAATTATTCAAATATAGGCAGAAATAAGTGCTAAAGTCAAGATCTATTTGCAAATCAAGTTTTCCAAAATGAACATTTTATTATTCAATAATTATATATATGGGTTTGATCAAAGTAAGTATTAAAGTCGAGATCTATGAATCTGTTTGTAAATATATTTAATGAACGCTTTATCAATTATTAAATAATTGTATAGGCGAGTTTGATCAAAATAAGTGTTAGTCGAGATCTATGAAGCTTGTAAAATAAAGGTTTATAAATTATTCAATAATCATATAGGCGGGTTTGATCAAAGTGAGTGTTAGCCAAGATCTATGAAGCTGTTTGTAAAATATATTTAATGGATACTAAATAATTATGTAGGTGGTTTGACCAAAGTAAGTGTTAGATAAGATCCATGAAGCTTGAAAAATGAATATTTATCAATTATTCAATAATCATATAAAAGTAAGTGTTAAAGTCAAGGTCTATGAAACTCGCAAATCGAGTTTGCAAAATGAATGTTTTATCAATTATTCAATAATTATATGGGCGGATTTGATCAAAGTAAGTGTTAAAGTCAAGATTTACAAAGCTTGCAATCTAGCTTTGCAAAATGAATGTGATCAAAGTATTTTTAGTAATAAACAAAATAATCAATTCAATCGTCGTCAATTTAATTAAATGCACAATGCTTTATTTTTTCAATTTAATTGTTAATTAATTAAAAAAAGAAACCGAATAATAAATTCAATTGTAAATCCATAATGCTTTTCTTAAAAGTAAACAAATCAATGATCCAAAAAATAAAAAAAAAACAGGAAAAAATGTTTTTTAGCATTTTTAGTAATAAACAAATAATCGATTCAATTGTCAATTAATTAATTAAACCATAATGCTTTTCTAAATCAAAAAAAAAAAAAAAGGACAAATGATAATTCGTAAATATTAAAATGTTTTTTAGCATTATTTTAGTAATAGACAATTAATTCAATTATCAATTAACAATTAACAAACAAGCTCACAACTGAGAATGCAATGCGAGCTTTTGCTTTTTTATGCGTTACACGATCATGTTGCGAGAAAATTCATTTGTTTTATTTTGAGATCACGTTTACATCAAAGTTAAGTTGGGTTTGGATTGCATCTTATTCATCGCAAATGACATCACTTAGGCCAAGACAATAGTCTGTTTTATTAAATTCGAAATATATAAATAGGACAGCTGTCCCCACATTTTTTTTTTTCGTATAAAAATTCCTCACAGGCCATATTTCAGCGCACAGAACTCAACCTTCTACATTCAACCACGACTTCGCTGTTCATTTTCAAGCAATCAAGGTAAATTCAAGTTAATTTACGAATGCGTACGCTACGTTTGAATCATCATTTATCGTTACACAACGTTATACAAAATAGTTAATTCATGAAAAAAATAAAATATTGCCACGCCGAGTGTTTCATAGCATAATAATAAAAATACACGACCAAACCATTTACATATTAATATACAGTCAGCATACTCGTTCGGAGCATCGAAATTAGCCAATCACATTATCATTTATTCATTGGGCAAAAATTTATTTATTTAACGATTTTTAACATGAATAATAAAAAATTACATATGCGTAGAATTTAATACGTATCAAAGTTTCGAAAAATGGATATAGATTCAAATAGATTAATATGAAAGTAAAAACTGACACAAAACAAAACTCTCAAGTAAAAATCATGACCCAAGCAAAAAAATTATGACTGACTGATGTAAAATTTCAAGAAAATTTTTATTTAATACAAGCATTTTTTGGTGTTTAAATTTTCGACATTTTTCCGCTTTCTAGAACAAAGATTGTCTATATCTATTATTACATTGTCTGTCAAATGACCATTATTACAACCATTGTTTCCAAAACAAAATATTATTTACATTTATTAATTCTTTTTCTGTTAAATTGCCAATATACCAAACGCGACAACTGAAAATTAGAAAAAAATATCTTTCACGTTAGAAAATATATAAAAATAAATTAATGTTGCACATATGTTTTTTTTACATTTCATCTTCCATGCTTCCCATTCCAAAAAAAATAGTTTGGTAAGATCCATGAATGAAAGATTTTTCTGAATCAGCAATTATTATATAGCAATAATTAACTAATAATAAAAAATTTCCATTTGAAAAACATTTAAAATTTTAAATTGGCAGAAAATTAAAATTAATTTTTAATTCTTGAATTTTATTGGCTGGAAGCTTCCAACGCACATAAACTATTGGAAGGCCTGTGACCCCAATTCCAACGCACATCATCACTGCGAAACAAAATGGAGTCATAACTTTGCATATAGAAAAAGTCCTTAGCTTAGAAAACCACGATTGTTTTGGAATACTAAAGAATCCATAAAGTTGCGGGTAGTGATGGGAATTTTTAACCTGCATTTAATAACTCCAAGTTATTATTAATAGTTAATAACCACTTATTAACTGATGCATCCAAAAGATCCATTTTGCCAATGTATAGGGCTCAGTGTGCGAAATTTTATACTTATTTCAAATAATTTATAATTTTTGCTACCAATGAAAGATCTGCAAGTTGTGTTTTTTTAACACAAAAATTTTACGCCCATCCACTAGTTCCGGGACTAGTTCATAAAATTTAGCGATGATCTACGTTACACCAAGTCGTGTAAAGAATAATAAAAAGCACGTTCATGCAATGTATTTCCTTTTTTAACTATTCAAATTGAATCTTTTTTTTACTATAACTATATATGTGTAAATTAAAAAAGTTTGTCCTGCTAATTAATTAATTTGGAATCACTTCTCTGCCATCCAATACTACTTCTACTACTATTGCTGCTAAAATAAAAAAAAGAGATAATAATAATACAACAATGGTTGAAGAGACAAAAAAATCATCACCAACCTCTACAAAAAAATCAGTATTGGATAAAGTACCATGGTTAGCAAATCAAAATAATAACTCTACTACTTCAAACAATAACAATGATTATAAAAAGACAACTCCACCACCACGTAAATTGCAATCACCTTTTCTTAAATCAAGTGTTACTTCATCATCATCATCATCATCATCGTCATCGTCGTCGTCGTCGTCATCATCTACAACCTCACCGAGTAAGTTGCAATCACCTTTTCTTAAATCAAATGTTCCTTTTTCACCTTCATCAACTACTTCATCAACTACTTCGCCTACAACTTCACCCACAACTTCACCCACAACTTCACCATCTTCATCTTCATCATCGTCATCATCACCGTCATCATCTAATTCCTCCAATTCCGGTACACCTTCTAAATTAAATAAAAATAATATTTCACAAAAATTAGAAGGATTATTTAATGGTGGTAGTGGTGGCGCGGGTGGAATAGCTTTGCCTGGTATGGAGAGAGGTGGTGGTGGATTTGTATTTGGAGGAAGAAAAATTGTTAAAAGTGGAGATGATTATAATAATAATAATTGTAATACAAAAGAAAATAATAGTGATAATAATAGACGTGTTAAAGTTATGATGGATGTTAAAGATGATAATAATGATAGCAGTGAAAAAGTTGACGATGAGAAAAAAAATGATAAAGAAAATGATTCACCTAAAATAAAAGCCTTGGAACATGTAAGTAAAATGATTGTTTTTTGGTGAGGATAGTTAAAGAGATCTTATCAATAATTTCTTTATTTTAGGTAACAAAAGATAGACCAAAAAGACCTGGCAAAGCAAGGCAACAAATTAAACCAATTACAACTGCAACAACTACTACTACTATAAAAGATGAATCTATAAAGAAGAACGAGGATGATAATAAAGAAATTGAAATCGAGAATGAAAAATCCGTAAAGAAGGAAGAGGATAATAGCGATAATTCTAAAGATAAAGAAAATGATGATTATGCGAAGGTGGAAGATGATTCTAATGATCATAATACGAAAGAAATTGAAGGTAAAGATGAGGATGAAAAAGATCATGCAAAGATGGAGAATGATTATACAGCAAATGACGTTGAAAACAAGAAAGAAGAATCTGCAAAGGAGCAGAGTTATGAGAATAAATCAAAGGGGATTAAAGATTATTCCAAAGAAATTGCCAATATTACTACTAGTAGTACAGAATCAATTGATAAATTGAAATCTGAAGATGATAATTTAAAAGTTACTGAAGATAACAAAGAGAATACTAAAGAGAACACTGTATAAGTAACTAGCCGCAGTTAATTGTTAGATAGAAAGAAAAAAGATATGAAACTATTTATTTTGTTTTATTATTTTTTTACAAAATGTATAAACTACTTTATATGTATGTATACTTTGGATGTTTTATTATTATATTATCGTTATTTTACAAAAGAAAATAGAAATTCTTTTTTTTTGAATTTCCATTAAATAAATTATTTATTATGAATAAAAAAATATTTACAAAAATAAAAATTAAAGAATAAATAAATAAATAAAAAATGTGAAAATTATGTGAAATGTGAAATTGTGAATGTTTTGAAAAAAATGTCTATGAAAATAAATTTTATATTACAAAATACATAATAAAATTATAATTGTAATAATAATAATGTTATGAATTGTCTATAAAAATGTTCAAAAATGTGTAAATAAAACGAATTAATGAAAAATGTAGTGAGTGAATATGTATAATAAATGTGAAAAGGAAATTAGAATTAAATGTTCTTTATATAAATATTAATCAATAATATTATATAATATATGTTATATGGTGTTTCTGTGTCTTCTTATTCTAACCATAATTTTCAAACATTTTCTAGATACTTGTAAAGTTACAGCAGGAGTAATATTTGTATGTGATGTACGTGGTTGTTGACGAAATGTTGGTCTTTCACAATCCAATCTGATATTTTTATCATCGCCAACATTAATAATTTTATTACCTGTAATACTAACATCATCTTGATGATTTCTATTCTTTGATGATCTTCTACTCGATGTGTAATGATGATATTCATCTGGATCAGTTGATGCTTTTTCAAGAATATTTGATTTTTGATTAAAAAATCTGTAAATAGCTGATGAACTTATAAATTTCATCTAATTTAAGAGGGAGGAGAAGGAAGGAATAAAACTTGTTAATTATTTGTATATTAATCATCCAACTAATAATACTAATAATAAAAGAATAAAAAAAAAATACATACTGTTTGAGTACGTTTAGGTCTTGAATTAGCAAGGGTTGAATAACGTTTACTTGGATAATTTTTAGCAAGGTCGTCGTCCCCTGTATTATTTTTATTATTTGGTGGTGATGGTTTTCTATTTGGGTTGAGTGAGGAAGAAATCGCTGGACGATATCTATTTTTTAAATCCAATGATTGCTTTTCTAATAACGATTTAGAAAGATTAATTAGAAACAATTTGTTATCATTATTAATATTATGAGACGAAAAAAAAAAAAATTGATAATTACCACATCTTTTTAATAAAACTTGTCCAATGAGTGAAATTGGGGGAGGAATATTTAAGGTTGCAGATGTTTTTTCGAGCAGTTTTTCTGAAGGAATAAGAGCTTTCTTTTCATCATCGTTTGAAGAATTTGTTTTTTCTTCATTTTTAAATGCCTTCTTTTCGTCAAAGTCAGTTACTTCTTCTACATTGCCACTATCGCCACCATTACCAACGACACCACTAATATTATAATGTTCAATACGATGAAGGTATTTTTTGAGATCGTTCGGTGGAAGATAATTCAAACTTAAAGAAATCAGTCCGTGACACAACAATATGCACCATTTACATAAATCCCTACTTTTTTCAGTTACTAAAATCATTGTGTTGAAATTTTTACGGAAAAGTTTTGAAATACAAAAAGTTTATAGAAAAATGAAATAAATAATTATAATGTAAATATATAAAAACGTAAATGAAATATTATTGAATTTTTTGCAAGTTATTTTGCTAATGAAAATTATGCTTTTTAATTGTTTTAATAAATCTTCTGCGAGAATTATTAAAGAAAAATTTTCAGAGTTATGGTTATGAATTAATGGTTTATATCTGTTTTTTAAAAAAAAATGTGAAAATTATAAATGGAAATAAGTCGGTCAGAATGGTTTAGTTTCAGAATCTAAAAAAGAATTTTTCATGCACATATGAATACAATATAATTAATACACAATGATAATTGACAGGTTTTATGCGAACTGCGAACTGAAAATTATTGAAAATTATGGTTAATTTAGAAATAATTAGTAGAGACGGTTTATATAATGTTTGGTAAACTTGCAACATAATTAATTATATAATAATAGACTTTATTGTTATATCAAGTTTTACAATTCACGAAAAAAAATTTTTTTTAATCAGCTGCTATAAAATCCAAAAATACTTGTGATTTCTGCAATAATGCATACATTTATATAACATTATGTAGAAAAAAATTCTAAGAAAGCATCATTATTATTAATATGTAAAAATTACGCCATAGCACTTTTGAAATATTAAAAAAAAATTTTAATTTTCTAATTTCTCTAATCTTTAATATTTTTTACAATGATGAATTAATGACTATCGAATGTTTGTACATTTAATGTCCAATAAATTTTATTCAAAAAGCATTCATTGTTTTGTTTTCAATAATTAATTAGAGATTAGTCATGAAAATTTTTTTTCTAGAACCTCTAGAAGTAATTAATTATGTGATGTAAGTGTATGTATATATGCATGATATGACTGATAATTATATATAATAGACGGTATGTTGTAATGCAAAGAATTGTCATAGCGTTTTAAACCAATGATTACAATTATAGACGTGAAGGGAAATTGTGAAGAAGAGGGGAAGATGGGGATGGAGATTAAAAGGAAGTAGCATTAATGCTATATTACTCATAATAACAATTTTATTATATTATGACATTAGGGGAAATGCTTGTATCAGGGAGTTCTTGAAAGAAAATAATTGCAAGTTGAAAATGTTACTATAACTGGATATTTATGGGATTAACAAATGAAAATTAGGTAAAAAAAATTTTTTCAATAAGTTTCTTTTTTTATTTTTTTTTTTTTTCATAATGAAATAATGAAGTAAAATTTGGCATTATTAAAAAAAATGAATGAGTTGATCTCTGTATATTGTGTAACTTATTGTTCAAAAAAAAGTTTATTTAAAACTTTAAAATATTATATTTAATCTCCCATATATGACATAATAAACTTTTACGTTTATATTAAAGTAATAAGCGAGGGAGAACAATCATAAATTTCATATTATTACAAAATTAATTTTTCAGTGTGTTTTAGAATTAAATTAAAAAGATTCATATGAAAATAAACAAAGGAAGAATAAATGATTGGATGGTTGAAAAAATGATCATGTTAGTATGTATATAAATATACATTTTGTAACAAATAATCACTAAATATATCAGAAAATCATTTGGCGGGAATAATTTATTACTTTGATACTAAATTCTTTACGAGAGAGCGAGAAAATGAATCAGAGAGCGAAATAATTGAGGGGAAGAATAAACAAATAAATATATAAGCATGCAAGATATTTTATTCTCGTCAAAATTTTTATAAAAATAATAATTATAATTAGTCAATTTGGATTTCCTGGGAACGTTGATAAGTTGGTTAATAGTAAATCTATTATTATTATTATTATTACAAATTCGTATTAAATACAAGAGATTTTCTTAATATAATGAAAAATAGCGAATATAATTGATTTAGAAGTTGGTTGTGATGGTGATACTTATAAAGAGAAAAGAACGCGAGGCAATTATTATAACAATGATGATCATTAATATTAATATTAAAAATTAACCATGTGTTGTTAATTATCATTATTAAAATGATAAAACATATAACAGCAATAATGAATAATCTACGTGCGCAACATCTCTAAGAATCATTAAACCAATTCATGTCGTAGCCATTATTGATCGATCTCGGAATATTTATTTTCAGTATAACGAATGAATGAATGAATAAATGAATGATGGATCAAAAAATGCGAAACATAAATTGAATAATCCGTAATACATAATAATAATAATAATAAATAATAGTGGGATTGTGTGGAGACTAGCAATAAAGATGACAAATTATTATTCGCTACTATAAATATTCATGAAATCATTAGTGTATTTTGAGTATTGTTGAAGGAAATCAATGAAGCTATTCGTGTAAGTATAGAATTAGTAAGTAAAAGAAATGATAATAATTGATAATGCAGGCGATGAAAAAATATCGATTGAAAAAGACAGGTGATAAATCAAAATCTTCTTGTGTTCGCTAATTTTAATATGAGAACAATGAGTTGATCTATTGTCTATTGTTACGAAACAAACCCATTCAATCAATAAAGAAATTATTTATTTATTATTTTGGACGCATTTCCTTGTATTATTAACATTAAAAAATTTTTTAATGAATTATTATTTATAACCATCCGTTTGTTCTCTAAATTACTACTCCTGGGTAGATTTCTCTTTTGGAAAATCTTTATTAATGAATATTTATAAAGATCTTCACGTGAAATAACTTGTGTTATTAGTTGATTAAATCAAGTTTAGTTTAAAGTGAACAAATCAATTTCAGGAATGAAAAAAATCACCTGCTTTCGTTACTTATTATTATTGTTGTTGGTTATTATTGTTTTTCATTCAATATTATATCCTCCATATAAGATAACCGGTGTCTAAAAGTATAGATCGGATAAGTAATAGGTTGTTTCAGATTTTTTCTATTGCCCAGTGTCATTTTCTTTTGCATACACTTATCAGGATTAAATTAATTATAATAACAATTGAACATGCTGATAATATCAATTGATTGAATAAATTTCAATTCATTAAGATTTAATTACTGTACTATCTTTCTTTAAAGTGGTTATTACTGTATCAAACTTACTGGTTGCTGAAAATAAAATGCACCTATTGTTACAGGGCTGGAAATAGGAGGATTCAAAAAAAATTCTGGAAATTCTTAATTTACTGAGAGCATCACTTTAAACACCTTCCAAACAACCATTATTAATGTGTCATTATCAATTGATTGCATTATTTTAATGATATTCTGTTTACTGAAACCCTTTCACAATCTACACTAGGAAAGGAAGGAAATCATATACAACTGTTTTAAAACCAAACCATTCCTCTCAACAGCAACAGAATCTACAACCTAAAGGATAATCTAGTAATATATTTTTTTTCCATAAATTGAAACTAATTCTTCCAATCTTGATCCACCATAAAACATTAAAGGTTCCTTGTTTTTTGGTTATAATTGAGTCTATTACTATGTGAAAATTGAAATCTATAATTAAAACCTTGGGTGGGGGTGTGGATATGAAATCTGACCAGCTAATTGGTATTAGCCACCAAAAATTTACCTAAAAAGCAGTTAGTTGGTTCTAATACTCATGATAGAATAAAATCAAAATATATAAGAATTAATATTAGTGATAATATTAAAAATGGCACCATTTAAATGATAATGATAGTGATTCATTAATTAAAAATGTCACCATTTAAATGATAACAATGAATAATTAAATAATCATAATACAGTCGGACCTCCATAAGGTCACACCCTGTAAGGTCACATTTTGTTAAGTTCACAGTTTTTCCTTGTCCCTGTTGTACGTGAAAATGAAATTATGTGAATTCGCAATTCACATATGTGAAATTCAAATTTACATGTGTGAAATTCAAATTAGCCAATCAGAATTTCACCCCACTCCATAATATTTCAATTTCACATACAACATCCCGATTTTTTTTATAATAAAGTTCCCTCTATAAGATCACATTTCACTTGTAAAATTAAAACCGTGTGAAATCTATGATTAAAATTTTGGGGTGGTTGGATATGAAATTCTAATTGGTTGAATTTCACGTACGTAAATGTGAACAATAATAATGGTGAATTTGATTAAAAAAATTTTTAATTCCTATTTTTATTTAATATTAAGGAAATTTTAAATTTAATAAAGGTAATATCAATGATATTATATCATAATACACTTATTTATAACGGATGAGATATTACGCAATGAGAGAAAAGTTTCCGATAATCAAAATGATTTGGTGATTTTTCATAGAATAAGAGATTAGAATGTTGGAGATGATATAAAATTGAATAGGGTGATGTGTAATTGGGAACAAAAGATTTTACAATGTGTTCCAACCCTTTAATGCCAGATACATTAAAGCAGTCGTGGTTGAGAAACCATTGGGCTCATGTCTGGAGAAACAGTCATAGAAATCAAATTACACACACAATAATAAACTTATACTGTTCTCGGAATTACCGAACGAAGAAATATATTAGAATGAGTCCTTGATCATTATTAGCATAAGTTATCCGTACTACCACATGATTACTTCTTGCTTTCTACACTAATTATACCAATTAGAAAACTAATTTTTAACTCTGCTTCGTAATTAACAAAGGAATTGTCAATAACCAGTTTCGAATTTTCAGTAGAACTTTATAAATATTTTTTTTAAAAAACTCATTGTACCGTTATAGCTTAAGTCCCCTAGAATAAAACTACGGTGAGTTGTGACTTTGTTTATTTAATAGACCATAACACTCAAATAGCTACAAAACAATGCAAACTTCATAAACTTCATCTATGTTGGTTATGTGTATTTTCATGTAATTAACAAAAATGAGTATTCCAAAACTTTTGATCAATACTATATCAAAGAAGTGTTAAAGCAATTTGAAATCTTGTTTGAAATTAAAGTAGATGTAAAAATATATGAACTGTTTTTAATTAGCCCAACTTATATATATTTGCAGAATAGATTCTTTTCATATAGAACGATAAGTACAAAGGTATATAAATTTTGATGATTGCTAAAAAGTGTTAATCGTGAAAAATCTTTATTATCTCTTTTTAACACATGAAAAATTATGTCTCGATCAACACTTTTTATCGTTATGGTCGTTGGACGCTTGATAAAAACAACCAAAAACACTTTATTAACTCAACAAATATTTAATTAATGATTTCGCGATTTCATTGAATCTATGAAGACACAAAAGATAATTTATTAAATTATATAATTTTTTTTTATTATATTTATATCTATTAGATCAAAACCTATGTTCATTATCATTCATTAGCTTATGAAATCGGCAAAACTACAACTTGTTCCCCAGGTTAAAAAAAAAGGAGAATTGAGAAATACAACATGTAGAAGGAAAATGAATTAATGAATGAATGAACAATAAATCTATTTCTATAATATTATATATATGATACTTACACTTGTTATTATATTATTATGTTTATAGATGCATTTATATTTTTTAAATCTCTATATAACTAGTTTATTATTATAACATAATATTTTTTCTAATAATCTAATTTGCAATATTATATTATTGAAATATGGTCAACATATTGTATTATGTAATTAATATTGTAGTTTCGTCAGCTTCGGATGATGATGGTGATGATGATGTATAGCTACATATAATAATTAATAGATATTGTGTTAATGATTAATAAAAAATATATGTACCCTTACAAATTATAATATAAATTATATAACAAAAAATCACCTTAACTTTGTTCTTATAGTGTTGATGTTTTTAATTTCATATCTTTTAGAACAATATAAAGCTAAAGCACCACTTGGACCGAAAATAAAAAGTTGCAATAAATAACCTTTCAGATTGTTGGTGAATTTATGACCACCTTCAGCTACAAACACCCAATATGACATTCCAGTAATAGTCACCCATGAATTTATGATCATAAAATTGATTGATGGACTACTTCCGCCACTAATACATAATAATGTTAGCTCATATATACGTTGAAATTTATTATCAACGGCTAGAATAAAAATTAGAAAAAAGAATAATTAATTAATATTTTTTGATATTAAAAAAATTATTACTTTATAAATATATGTACCGTATAGTAAGAATAATATCCATTGATATATAGAAACTCCAAATAATATTTTATAATAATAAGATGCAAGCTTATATCCACTTTTTGTTGAACTATTATTATTATCAATAGTTTTTGATTTATGATTCCAAAATATTGGTGCTAATAATGGTGCAAACTATTAAAAAATAAAAATTTATCGGTTAATTAATTTGATATTTGATAATTATTGAAGATTAAATAGTTTAAATATGTTAAATACATTTGATTTTTACCAAAAATAATATTGTAACATAAGCTTGAAGTTTCTCATTTTTAATAGTAACCATTGCCGTCATAAAAAACATTGCAAATCCAAAAATTGAATAAAATATAGCATTAACACGACCAGGATTTAATAGGAACATTCCATCATAATATTGTTGAATTGTCACTTTTCTTTCTCTATCATTATTAATTTGAATTTCTTTTCGTTTTTCAGAAATTATCCAAGCTGGAACCCTTCAAACAAAAAAAATTATAATCATGCTTTGTTAATCTTTCTTTGGTTTTTTAAAAAATCTCACAATAATATCTTTAACAAAATATTATTAAATATTATACCATATTATTGTAATTGCCATAGAAATTCCCAAGAATTGTGTTAATAATGCAATTATAAAATAATTTGTTACTAAACCTCTAACACCAGGAATTGATGCTTCTAATGCAACAGTAAATAATACGGTAATAACTAATGGGAAAAATGTATTAATTATTAAAATTGAACTTGAATCTTTAATAAAATCTCTAATTAATGATGGAGAAAAGAAAATAACTTTTTAGTAATTAATATAATTAATATTTAAAAATCAATATATGATATTAATATATAGAAGAAATCTTACTGATAAAATGGCACCAAGAAATTTAGTAAATTATCAAGTCCAGGAATACTAGTATATCTTACCATTGGATTTAATAATCCTGGTAGAAAATCATCAAAATTTGAACTTTGAGGAAATAATAATAATAATCCAAAAATACTGGGAATTACTTGATGTATTTTTCCTAATGTCATGCTTTTTATTCTTTGAAGAAATTGAATAAAAAAAGAAAGAGTGGAAAAAAGATTGTGAAAATATTTTCGTACATATCAAAGTATATTTATAGATTACAAGTTAGAATTTTTGATTTATTTATTGAAACTTTATAGTAATAGTAATAGTAACGAGCGTAATATTATTATATAAGGATCGACATCTAAAATAACACACAAATGGCTGTGTCCGACTTATCAAGTGATCCCGATTTATCAATAAAAAAAGAAAATCGTGTTTAAATCGTTTATGATTGAAAAAATAATTATTTAATAAAACAGATAGAAGACAAAACAAAAAAATCACCATTTTTTATCTAAATAAATATTCATACTAGTTTGTGCTAAAGAATTATTTTGTTTTCTATTAATTTTCTTTTAATCCTGAAATAAATGAACTATATATTTACTTGTATATCATTATTCTATTGCAAGTAATTATATAAATTTTGAAGGGTTTACCCCAATCGACTGACAGACATTATACTGACAGCTGTTATACTGACACCGTTATACTGACACCGTTATACTGACAGGACGTTTTACCAACAGGACATTATACCAACAAGACATTATACCAACAGGATGTTATACCAACAGGACATTATACTGACAAGTCATTTTCTAATATATTCTATCAATTTAGCATAATACAGTCAACCCCTCTAAGTGCACCTCTCTAAATGCACCCACTATGCAAACCCTCTATAAATGCATGCTATGTCTCATTCCCAAACTTATAGTGAGCTTATAAATTATCCCCTCTAAATGCACACCCTCTCTAAATGCATGTTCATGAGAAATAATGATATGCTCCCAAGGAGGGTGCACTTAGACCATTTATTAGCCAGCTAAGCTGTTCAAGTCTGTTAAACCATTTATTAGACGGCTAGGCTGTTTAAGTGATTAAGCCATTTATTAGATGGCTAGATTGATTAATTGCACTATGAAATTACTTGTCAGTATAATGTCCTGTTGGTATAATGTCCTGTTGGTATAATGTCCTGTTGGTATAATGTCCTGTTGGTATAATGTCCTGTTGGTATAATGTCTTGTCGGTATAATGTCTTGTCAGTATAATGTCCTGTTGGTAAAATGTCCTGTCGGTATAATGGAGTTGGTATAACAGCTGTTGGTATAATGTCTGTCGGTCGATTGGGTGGGACCCAATTTTGAATGCTTTCTAAAGTGATTTTTTTAGGGCCAATATCTTCTTCTTCAGGTGTTTCTTGAACTGCTGCAATAATTTCATCATCATCAAGCATTTTAGTTCCTAAGTAGAATCAATCTTGTTGTAACTTCTTGCTGTAATAATATTATCATCATTATTAACATTGATTTGATCAATACTGTAAAGTCTGGAAAGATAGCATCCCCTTTTTACATGTGTAACATTTCATTTTTTTTATATTGACGCTCAATTGTTTTAAAGTAGGGGGTGCTATCTTTCCAGACTTTACGGTAAGTAATTGTAATTCATTGATTTCAGGATCAACTTTCATAGTAATGTATCAGGAAATTTTTCTGACGCAGATTTATGTAATTATTACACTATTTACATAAGTTTATGGTGGGCCCGTAATATTATGCAAATAAGCATACAAAAATTATGCAATTATTACATTGAGTGTAAATATTACATAATTTTTATGCAAATATTACAACTTTACATATTAAATTTACAGACATAATATTGTGGTGGGGAAAATTTCCTGATGATAGGTCAGTCAACTTCTTCATTATCAGGTTGAAATATCTGTTTTTTTACAACATCTATAAATCACATCATCAACTACATTTTCCCACCTTTTGCACTTCAATCAATTGCATTCAAAATGTTTAAAATTGAAATTGGGTTTCACATTCTTGTGAATTATCAAATGCATCTATCTTGTTATGACACAGGTGTTTTCTATAATGTGACTATTTATTTTAAAAAAGTCAATCATGTAATATGTAATAAAAAATAAAAATTCAATTTAAAAAAAATAATTACTTTGAATGAATTATGCCCTGATCAATTGGTTGGAGATGAACTGTTGTGTTTGATGGGAAGAAAATTTAATTTAATATTGCTTAACACTTCACCTTCTTCCAAATGGTGTAAAGAAACATTATCAACTAATAATAAAATATTTCTATGTTGGTTGTGCACCTGTTGGTTAACTTGTTTAATCCATGATTGGAATATTGAACATTGCATCCATGATGAATTATTCCAATAATACCACACTGGAAGTATTTTCTTATCAATATTACGAATACATTTTGGATTTTTATACTCATGAATGAATACAGTTGGCAATTTATGAGAATCAGTTGCATTACATGCAAGCATTATTGTAATTCTATCTTTAGATTTTTTTGTGCCAGTGATAGGGCCATTACTGAGAGTTTTGTTGGGTTCTAACTTCCAATAGAGGGCAGTTTCATCAGCACTATAAACAGCATTCAAGCCATATTCTGTAATTAGATTTTAATTCAGCTCTAAATCCTGGTAAGTCATCAATTGGTGAACTTGTTGCTTCACCCATTTTGTAATGTTCTTCATTGCATATTGAAATGTTTTTTCCAATGGTGTATTGCCTCAACATCTTGTAAATATATAATAATATTAATATTGTTATAGTTATGAAAAGCAAAATACCAATTGTTTACCATTTTGATTCCAATTAAAATATTTATAAACTAAAAAAAACATATCAATACAAATAAAAAAAGCATTTCTGGCTAGTTATTAACACTTCTTTAGGAGGGTCAAATCATACCAAACAACAACACTCATGTTTTGTCACCTTGAACTCTGTCAAAAAATAAATTGTTTTAAAAAAAAAATCACCAAGTGCCAATAATATGTTATTTTTATTTTTTATTTTGTTTACACAATTCTTCTTTTTCTTTTTAACACAAAATAAAATGCCTGGTGACAAAAAAACAAGAACAGAAAAGAAGAAAAGAGAAAAATGAACAATATGAAGCAAAAGGGTAGTGTTTATCATAAGAAATGGTGGTGATTATCACCATTCTAGTTCTAGTTAAATACATGTGAATTCTATATTTGATTTCACTACAACATATTACATAATTGGTACTTAGAAATGATAATAACAAAGTAGGTAATAATCAAATTATATTTTCTTATGATGGATAAAATTGGTAGTTTTGTTGATATTAATCCAACTTTCTAACATATAGGAAAATGATAATAATTACTAATATCAATAAAAAGAGAAAAAGAAAAAAAGGAGATACAGTCAACCCCCTCTAAGTGCACCCCCTCTAAGTGCACACCCCCTCCAAGTGCACGCTTTCATTCATTCCCAAGCTCGGGAATTAGAGATAAGTGCACACCCCTTCCCCCTGCACTGCACGGTCTTTTTTCATTCCCATCTATATAAAACTCCCCCTCTAAGTGCACTCCCGTGACTTTCACGTGATCGTTGTCCAATAAAAATTGTGCGACGCTATTAAATTAAAATACTTTTAACAAAAAAAAATGGATAAAGAATTGATTTTTTGTAAGAGATGATAAAGAATTAAATTTTATACTTAGCAAATAATAATAAAGAATATAAAGAATTAAATTTATTATTAGTAAAAGGTAAAGAATTAAATTTATTAGTATGACAGAATTATTTTGTAAGAGGTGTTCATTTTTATTAAGTGAGTGACAGGGAAATAAAGAATTCTTTTTTTTTAATAGATACAAAGGTTATTAAAACAAAGTACAAGAATGTAGACAAAGAAGCTTATGTAGTTGAAATTATTATAAATAAGACATGAATCAAGAATTTTATTTAATAACTAAACTCTTGTAACCAACTTTAAAAATAAAACTTCTATTATAAATTAACCTTATCATTAATAAATTAAAAATAATATATATTCTTACATACACAACCATCTAATTTTTGCACTCACTCATCTCATTAAATATTTTATTCTTTTATTGCTTCTAAATAAAATGCTTCCAAAAAGAGTAACTTTATCTAATTCTCAAAAATATGAATTTTGTTTATTCTAGTCAACAAATAAAACTGGTTAATTCTCTTGATAGATATATTAGTTTGAAAACAATAAATACAATGAGGCAAACCATAATAGAATCTTATCTTAATCAATAATTATATAAAATTTTTTTTTAGTGAAGAGATGATAAAGAATTAAATTTTATACTTAGCAAATAATAATAAAGAATATAAATAATTAATTAATAAATTTTTATTTTTATGCAAAAATTTTTATTCTTTATTGGTGTCACGTGCAACCAATGAAATGCTTTGTTTCTCTAAGTGCACACCCCCTCTAAGTGCACGCTATCACTCATTCCCAAGGGGGGTGCACTTAGAGGGGGTTGACTGTAGTGGAAAAAGAAGACAAAAATTTGTTAGGGAGCTATTATAGAAAAAAATATCCTCATTGGAGAAGTGATGATCCAGAAAATAAAATACAAATTCTGGAATATTGGAAAGAATATTACCACCCAGAACAAGAAGAAAAGGACCAAGAAAGAATGAAAATAAAAGAAAAATTATTCGAAGAAATATATAAAAAAGGATACAAACCAAAATGGTATAAAGAAAAGAAAGAACAATATCAAGAACAATCTATATGGAAAAAGACTACGGAAAATATGGATAATGAAATAATCAGAACAATGAACAAAATGGAAGAAATAAACAAAGAGACAATAAAAAGATATGAAAAAAGGAATTTATACGAAATGGAAGAAATACTTATGCTAGAAGAAATGTCACAAACAGACAAAGAACTAGAAAAAAGAGAAAACGAAAAGCAAAAACATAATGGGACAAGATTTGTAATAATAATACTAAAAGACGAAAATGGAACATGGATATCTCAAAGAAGGAATCCAGAAAAAATATACCACGAATATTGGCAGTACCCAGGAGGAAAAGTAGAAGATCATGAAACTTATCAAGAAGGAGCTATACGAGAACTAAGAGAAGAAACAGGAATAAAAAGAAGATTAGAAGAATTAGAATACGTAACAACAGATAAATATGAAGGAATTACATGTA